AGAAAAATATGATTTTTAAATCCCCTAATATGCTATTGGCACCACTGTCGTGAACCACTGCGACCCATCCTTTTAGACTGAGTAACCACAAATATAAATAAAAACCATACCCAAATATTAGGATTGCAAATTACTGCCATCTCACATTGTGATGGCTCCTGAATGAGGACCACCGAGACATATTTAATGATCCCCATGTCCACCACTTCCAAATTTCAATTATTGAGAGAGAACCACTGCTTGGTACCTCTTGATAAAATTATAATCAAATCTTTATTCATAATAGAAAAATATATCTTATTAAAATCAATATCTCTCTCTCCTTGTCACTCTCTCTACTTCCATCTTCATCTCTATCATCCCCATCATATTAATATCGCCATCATATTAATAAAGAATGTCCATCTCTTTGTTCCCACATTCTACTTATCTTTTTTTCCCAAATATTGATATATACAATGTATGTCTACTAATATCAATCTCACATCTTAAAGTGTGGGAAAGAAAAAAGTCTATATAACACTTCGATAAAAAAAATTGCTCTTTATCACTGTTCAACCGATCCGGATCGTGTATTGCCTAGATCCAAAGGAAAAATTTACTTTTTATCAATATTCACCCGATTCAAAATCGGACGATCCAAATCGAGTATCGTCCGGCCATCCCCGATCGAAAAAAAACACACAATTCAACCGCTTGGCTTTTAAATCGCCATGCTGACGCCACCCATCATTGGGTCTCGCTCGTCAGTACCATTTTAATATTATAAAAAATTCCAATACATTACATATTGTTTGCTTACATGTGGTTTCCCACGTGCTTACGGTGAACCTCGCGCAAGTGGCCTACTCCCAAACATTTGATTATTGCTTAAGTTGTTTCCACTCCTTTTTTATATGTTGTTTCCATCCCACATGTCTTTGTTGACAATTGTCATAGCCCAACCCAAGAAAATGGCGTTGTTGCATTAAATGAACGTATACATTAATACGATTAAGTGGGGACGGGTGGGCCATCAATAAGAGGGGTATACGCCGGATGGTGCCGTTAAATTACATGATAAAAAAAAAAAATTTAAAAAATAATAATTGGGTGATAGGGCCCACCACTCTTATATTTCTACAAAAAAAAATTTAAATTTATTTACTCAAAAATCAAAATAAAGAGATTAATATTTAGGCTATTATCTCATGGATTATTTCATTATATGATTAATATTAGGTTATTAGCTAATTAAGATTAAAAAAATAATATTAACGTATAGAATGTTAAGAAAAAATATATGCTAACATTAGTTTATTGAATATTAAAAAAATATTAGTTTATGGGATATTTTAAGAGAGAAATAACACTAATTTATACCACTTAAGAATTTATTTTTAGTTGTTTTATCAATTATCCCTAAATTCAAGTATGAATTTATTTATTCATTTTATTAAAATATGATTGTAAATTTATATTTCTATATTCTATATTTCTATCCACACTAATTATTACATATTAGATTTATTTATTTGTGAGGACCATACCTTTTTGTTTTTTGAATAACATTTATTTAAAAAAAAATTTACTTATTACAATGATAACGAAGTCGTATTTTTTATTTATTTTAATTATACATACATCCAGACATGAAAACATTATCTCAATATTCATTTATTTTTACAAAGTAATAAAAATACATAATGCAACACTCCTAAATTCTTTTAGAAACTAAAAGAATATATTTTTAGAGATTTATAATAATTTTTTAAAAATGTTTTGGGACTAAAATTGCCGATTCCGTCGATTCTAAGTTCAGGGTTAATTTCACGCCATTAATGGTGAAAATTACACCCATTTTTCCAATGGAAAACTGAGAAAAAAGTGAGAAGCACATGGAAGGAAATGACAAAAATATGAGAATCCCTTTTTTGTTCTCAGGAAAGAGGGCTCGACGGTGATTCCAGGCTCAAATTCCGGCAATTAATGAAGTTTCCGGCCGAAATTATTTTGGCAATCACACGTCGTAAAAGATCCCAAAACAAACCCTAATGAAATTCCATGCTCTAAATTTTTGTTAATTCACTTGGTAGGAATTGAGCATAAGATCTACGATGCAAATCGCCAAACGCTAACCACATAAGATCTACATTGCAAATCGCCAAACGCTAACCAATTTAACCCGGACTCTTTTCCTAACTCCATGCTCTAAATTTTCCGGCTCTAAATTCAACCAATCAATGGAGAGTGTCATGCATATACCTTTCTCTTCCATTTCATAAAAAAGAAAGAAATAAAGAAATAATGAGCGGAAAGAAGGGATGGGGGGAAGAGTAGGGAGAGAAAGGCATTGTGGGATAGAAAGAGTGAGAAACAAGTAGAGAGAGAGAGACCGAGAGGGCACTTTTTGTTGTGGTCCAATTTATTGCCGGTGTTAATCTTCTTAACTTCATCATAGCTGTCAGGCCTTCTCAAGGGATTAGAGGTGGTAACGGGTCCGGTATAGTTTGGGATCGGATGTATCGAAACTTAGATCCATAGTGTTTGGGTCTAGGTTTTGGTCCAGTCAGATTTCGGGTCTATCCCGGATGATTTATGGTCTGGTCGGGTCTATAGCCATGCGAAGTATGAGTTTTTTTTTTGTTGTCGTCTTTTTTTACTGTTTTATACTCGAGAGTTTTTTTTTTTGTTGTTGTCTTTTTTTACTATCGTATACCTATGTTATTAGCAAATATGATTTGTAGTTCAACAGTTAAAAGATGACTACGATTTCTTATTGTATACTGGATGCTCCACGCCACCTGCATGAAACCACACTCTCTAGGCCCAATAAAGTGAACGAAAAACAACACTCACTATAGAAAAATAGTTTGATATTGGAAAAAAGGCTTTAATGATGTTTATGTAATATGTTTCTCTCTATGTGTTAACCTAGCCACCGTTAATCTAGCCACATATATAGTGTATGTGATCCTTGGTCTCTGAGATAACTTCAGTTACAATGTCACAAGCTAGCTCTCAATTACCAAATTTTGATCAAACAATTCTTGGTTTTTTGTTTTTATTTTATTCGACAAATAATTTTGAAAGAAATTTTTTTCTGTACATATTTGATGGGTTCACATGATAATAATAATAATATTTTCAGTGATAAAAATTACTATAATACCCCTATAAATTGTAGAGGTATTTTGGTCATTTAGTTTTACAAAAAAAAATTATTTTTTCCTAGTTTGCCCTAATTTTATTATTCATCCAAAAATATTTTGTAGAAAAAAATCGAAAAATAAAACAATGATTGACATAACATTTATGAACAATCCTAGCTATTTGCCTCGTATCCAACCGCTAAAAGGTGCGATCACGTATATCTTAGATGCTATTGGGGTCAAATAAAATGATTTTCCTTTTAGGGAAATCATCTTTCTTTTTTTTTTAATTAATACGGATGAGCACTGTATCTCCGTCTCTATCCACCTATTGAGAAAATTAAATAAACAACAAAAATATGAAAAATATAAAACTATAACCAGATTTCTTTCTTTGGGATTTAACATCTAAAACAAATAATTGCAGGACGTTTTGGACAAAAACAATGCGAATTTCTAAAGTTTTGTAGTGAAAATTGGAAATGGTATCTTGCCTAAACAGTAGACATAGGTAATAAACAAGAGAATATTCGAGATTCGAGCCATAGATGTTCTCAGTTTTGACACAAGGTACTTAATATACTTATTCGATATAATAGTATAATTTTATGATATAATAAAATAATTTTGCCGTATCTCGAATAATATGAATCCTGCCTATTTTATGGATAAAAATACAAATATCATATTGTTGTTGCATCAAAACATATAAATGTTTAATAAACGGAAAAAAACTAGAGACAAAGAGTCATAATCATGATCATCATAATATTTTCCTCTTTTTCTTTTTTTTTTGGAAAGTTAACGGTAAGCTTTCATTGAAAAAATGAGAGATCATCATAACCTTGTTTCTAACTATTTAGGATAAGCTATACGAATCTTGATATGCTCTATCAATAGCCATACTCGCAGATAACTTAGATTCAGGATTCATAAATTCTTTTAACAAAGTTTATGTTGGTTGCCTACTTACACAACCCATCACCTCATCAAACATTATCCTAACTATTTAAAGTTTGCTACACAAAGGTCTGTTATTCTGCTCTACCAAAGGCCATTCTCATAAGCAAATAACTTCGATTTAAAATTCATGCAAAATTTTGACAAAATTTTATATTGGCGCCCTACTTAACATCGGGTGAGCTGATCCAAACAAAATAAAGTGCAACTTCAAATAGTGTTGACAAATATGGTTTCAATACTGAAAATATTTGTGATAGCCATAAAATATATTTTTATTTTTAATTATAAAATTTAAAGCTTAAAAAATATTGTAAATCGAGCATATCTACAAAAACATGAAAATCTTGAAAACTAATGGTCCAAAAATGCGTTACAAGATGCACTATTTCAAAACTTAAAATCCATTTTTTTCTCATGTTC